GCGTTTGATATTCAGCTCCACTATGTATATCTTCATGCAGAAAAACTTGTTAGTCCAGTTCACCAGGGGAATGTGAATCAAATGACCACGGTAGCCACCAGCAGCAGCAGCGGTAGCGGTAGCAGTGGTGGGCCTCTCATGTCCTCTTTCCTTGCCGGCATTTCTGGTCTGCGTCGCTCCGGTTCACAAGGATCCCTCAATTCCCTCCTGTCGGTGATGGACTCGATGACTAGTGAGCAGCACTTCCGCATCTGCCGTCACTGTATGATGGTAGGCGTCTTGTATTTTTTGGTGGTGTTAGATGGGTGGGTGGAGGGTGGCAGGTGTGTTGTGTGATGAAGCTGGTTTGGATTTTTTTTGTTTTTTTGGGTTAGGGTGAAGAGAAGGATAGGGTTAGCATTTTGGAAGAGAGCATTAAAAGAGTAGGAGAATTAGATGTCAGGGTTGGAATATTGTCGTTTGGATGATAATTTTGACCTGTAAGTACATGTTGATGAAGTGAATGGCCCTTAGATGTAGCTTACTAATTAAGCACTATTCACTGCAGAGCAACAGTGATACATTTGCAGATGAAGATGGAGATGATATTTGTTTCTATCCCTCCAGAGACTACAAGCACGGGACAACCAAGTAGAACAACGGACGTCAAAGCCAACTTTATCCCTCTACTATGAAAAACTTATGGAATATCGATCACTGTTGGAGAGACTCCTACCCCAGTATAATCAGATGGCAGAATCATTAAAGTAAGAGTCAAAATCTTTATTCAAATATATGTTAGTATGGAATATTAATATTGTTTTTTTCAGTTAACCTAATTACAGCAAAGAATTTGGATTTTGATGGTTTTAATGGTATTAGAAAAAAGGCACTATTACACAAATATCTAATGACTTTAACATTATTGTACTAAATTAAAAAAATTGTGTGTTCATCCTGCTGATGAGATAGCTATGTTACTAATAGTTTTTTTCCAATCTGCTAGTTACAAAAAGAAATTGTAATTGTGCGTGCCATAAAGATTTTTTTTGTCCTTGCCTTTTTAGTGCGGGAGAGACCACATACAATCTGCAAGATGCTGAGGAGCTGAGAATGAAGATCCTTAAGACTGGTGACAATTTGAACTCCATGACCCAGAAGATCCGCAACCTTGGCATCGGGAACCAAGATGTTCCTGACGGGGCCGCTAGCAGTACGCCTCTGGGATCACGGCAGGAGCTCCTACAAAAAAGGATATTTTCAACATCATCCGGGTTCCTTAAAGACCATATTCTAAGCCTTCCCAAATTACCCACCTTCCAGGAGCTGAAGGAAACTCAGGAGAGGAGAAGGTTTGTGGGACATTTGGGGGGATTCAGTTGTTTGTGTTTTCTTTTGTTTAAATGCAGTCTGTGGTTCTAGATCGCAGTTAAATTTTTCTAGGACTTATTAGTAATGTTTGATGTTAAAGTAGTATAAAATGTATATGATGAAGTGCATAAAAGTGATTGTGATAAGAAAATTAACAATGTAAAATTTATAGAAAGTGTTCACTAAATTCCTTGCATTCCTTATTATTCATCACATCAGCCCTAAAAGAAAGAAAAGATAATTGCATTATATCTCATAATCAGCTCTGTATGCCTCAGCATTACTACCATTCTGATCAGATTGGAAGCAGAGGCAAGGTTGGCAGCTGAAAAGGAAGCAATGCGGCAGGCAGAGGAGAGAGCGAGTGAGATCCTGCGACGTAGGGACAAAGAGAGCAAAGACACCCCAAGAACAACCCCAAATCGGTCCAGCAGTAGTAACACCCCAAGCAGATCAAGTAGCAGTACCCCAGTGTCCTTCTCCACTAGTAGAAAAAAGCAGTCAGATGAAGTGAGTTTTGTTTATTGGAAATCTTATTCATTGATGGATATTGTCTTCTTATTTTTTTCTTTTTTTTTATAATTTATTTATTTATTATATTTTTTTTGTGCATGATGAGGGTAAACCACTTGAGTATTTTAGATGTTCTGAGAGTAAAGGCTAAACATAGTGGAAAGATACCCAATGTATAAGAGACATGTTAATGGTTGGATAGTTTATTATGTGAATGTTATCCACGAAGGAGTAAAACCTAATTGATGAATGTATCTGGACTTACTTGTCCATCAGTACTAGATATTTATTCTTGGTTACTTAACACTATCCATGTTCAACTTTCTCTCAGGTTGTTGTTGATACAGGCTGGGGCCCAAATCTCTCTCCTCCCTGCGTGACAGAGACTGATGATCCAATGATTCAGCAGATGAACAATCTTAGGAATTATATAAGACAGGCAAGGTGAGACTATATTGCTTATGTAGTCAGAATGTATATGTGCATGTTGTTTGGTTTTCTTTATATTTTTATTATTAGGGATGATTTTTTGTAAAGTTTTTATGAACTGTCCACTGTAGTTTTTTAATGAATTTTGTTGCAAACAGATGGCTCCACAAGGGCTCAGCTGTCAAGGAGTCACTTGTAGTAATCATTATTATTATTATTGTTGTTGTTGTTGTTGTTGTTACTATTATTATTAACATTATGATCATTATATTGTTCTTTGAATACTAATAACAATGAAAATAGCAAAATAATAAAAAAGAGTCTCTCCACTTATGGAGCCATCTCTGTGCAAACACAATGAACTAAAATTACAGTGGACTTGGCATGTATTTTTGCCATCCAGGACATGTGGGTTAAATACTTATGGGGTAATCTCTGCTTGATATAAGAGATCTGTGAAACAATGGATCCAGGTGCTGTCAGTTCTGCAATTTAATTATTTTCACACTATAATTATTACTGTAACTGAACCTCTTTTCCTCACCAGGGAAGCAAATCGGTATGACGCGGTAGCTACATTAGAGGCCAACCTGAAGGAGCTCCAGGGAGAATATAAAAAGCAGCAGCGTTTGATGAATCCATAGAAATGGCAGCCCTAGGCATCTCTTTTAATTATACTGGTGCAAAAAAAAAGAAAAAGAAAAAGGAAAAAAAGGAATGTAAATAGCAGAGAGGGAAGGAAAAATTAGGAAAGAAAGGAATGGACGTGTAAACAAAGAGTGATTTTGTAAACTATGGTACAATATATGGATAATAGATACCGAGATTGAATGTCCTTTGTACCATTGTGCTCCTCTTCTCAGTGACATGAACTGCATTTATAGACCATGTTAGGAACAGGAAGGATTTTTTTATAAATGTGGCAGATTGTTGATTTGCATAATTTTGGAACATGATCTGCAAATGTGGAATTGATGGTTAGCAGTTTGTCTCCAATTATTTTAGTATGTACATCGTTACATACATGCAAATGGTCGTACATGCATGCATGCATGGATACATATATACATATATAAATACATACATATGTACATACTTACACACACACATCCACACACACGCAGACTCTCACGCGCACGCAGATTACAGAAGAAAACTGGAAAATGTATAAGCTTTCATGTCACATAGATCTTTAATACATATATGTGTGTGTGTGTGTGTGTGTGCGTGTGCGTGTGTGTATGTGCGCGTGTGCATGTGCATGGGCATGGGTGTGGGTGTGTGCGTGTGCGTGTGCGTGTGCGTGTGCGTGTGCGTGTGCGTGTGCGTGTGCATGTGCGTGTGCGTGTGCGTGTGCGTGTGCGTGTGCGTGTGTGTGTGTGTGTGTGTGTGTGTGTGTGTGTGTGTGTGTGTGTATGTAATATATATATATATATATATATATATATATATATATATATATATATATATATATATATATATATATAATGTATATATATAGATGTATAAATATATGTATGTATAGGTGTATATATATAGATATATGTATGTATAGGTATATATATAGATGTATGTATGTATAGGTATATATATATATATGAATATATGTATGTATAGTTATATATATATATATATATATATATATATATATATATATATATATATATATATATATATATATATATATATATATATATATATATATATATATATATGTATAGGTATATATATATATACTATTTATATGTATATGTATATATATATATATATATATATATATATATATATATATATATATATATATATATATATATATATATATATATATATATATATATATATAAAATCTTTTTATCTGCCTAAATATATGTACATTTATTGCCCTATCTATCTGTCTATCTACTGGCACTTAGATACTGTGACAATTGTTGAAAACAACAGACATACATGGATACCAGATTTTTTTGGGGTGGGGCTCAGTTCAGTTCAGATAGACATTACTTGTACAAAATGTTTCTTGCTAAAAAGTGTAATGCTTGGCGACTGTTACACAAAAATAGGTGAGAGAAGGAGACTTAATTTACCTATTCTCAGGATTACTTGATCTTTATATGTAATTGTCTGATAAAAGTAGTACAGCTTGGAACAAAATGTACTAAATGCAGGAGCACTACCTTAGTGATAGATCACACCTTGATGTTTTGTTTACAGGGAAATCCTATTGTGTCCAGCTAGCCATGCCTACAAAAGATTGGTGTAAGGTCCTGCCATTTGGATATGAGCTTTTTAAATATGATTGTTAAATTTCCTTCAGTGTGCTTGATCTTGTACACTGTTATCTGTATCTATACAAACCCTGCCTAATGATTTGGAGTTGTTTCTTCTCTCTTCCCCCTACCCCCTTCTCTCTCCCCTCTTCCTTTTTGCCTCTCCCTTTCCCCTTCCCCCTTTCCCCTTTCTGCTCTCCCTTTCACATTTCCCTTCTCACCTTTCCGTCTCTCTCTTCCCTTTCCCTCTCCCCTTTCCCTCTCCTCTCCTCTCACCTCTCCCCCTCTCCTCTCTTCCCTCTTCCCTCTCCCCTCTCCCCTCTCCCCTCTCCCCTCTCCCCTTTAGCCTTTTGTCTTTCCCTCTTCTCCTTTTCCCTCTCACCTTTCTCCCTCATCATCTTTCTAATTCTCATTTTCTCTCTTACAAATAGGAAAAGGTGAATGAATCAAGTAGGAATCAGAGTATTGCTTTTTGAAGCTAATGTACAAATTAAGCCTGAGATTTGGTAAAAAGTTTGCTCCTTCCAGCCTTGGAACGTTTGGATGTGAAAAATGTCAACTTCCATAATGCTGGTTTGCTAACAAGATGATCATCATCCTCTCTTTGCAGCTAAAGTAGATCTTTTCCCCTTTGTTTCCCCTTTTACACACATACATACTAGCATGTAGAAATATGTAAATGAAAGCTGCATACTTCCTTCACCCTCTCATTAAGAGTCTGTAATCAAACATATGATAGTTTTATAAACCTTTTGTGTTGTATTTCAATTTCTGACACATTCCATGAATCTGGTAATAGTCATAAAGGGGCTCCAAATGTTATTATGATTGCGGAGGGTAAAAATGACGAAATGAAATGTTTTCTTTATCTGATTTCAACGGGAAAAGTACTTCAGAGCTTCCCCATACTCATTTTGGTTGTAATTGAATTATTTAGTGATGAATATGGTGCCTGCTGTTAAACTGCTGATGCTTATGTGATCATATAAAAATGTTTTCAGCCTGATTCTGCCCCAGTCACTTGGCTGAAACATGGCCATTATTTTATAAGTATTAGTCATATACAATAATGAAGTAAATTGTAAAACCAGATGTAGTTTTTGAATATTTATAACTATCATACATACATGATATTTGACAAGATTATATTTTGCAGTATTATAGTCTAATGACACCAAAGAAAATTATTGATATGTAATAACTATACTGTTATAATTCATAAAAAATATTGACTGCTTCCTGTGATTGTACATATTGCTTTTAATGTAAGTGAGCACACAAGAATTTAATGGCATTGGCACTTAATGGAAGTTCCAGAGTGAAAACATGTAATTCCTTTCCATTTATTTCTTAAACATTAAAAATTTATATATGTATGATGGCGATGATGAATTTCAGTATGACTGTTCCCCATGACCAGTAGTGTTATAACTATGAAATAATTTCCCTTTTTATTCTGGATTAAACTGTTTGGAATTGGGTAAGTACGAATTAATCATTTGTTATTTTTTAAGATTATGATGATTATTTTGCAAAGAGAATACTCTGTTCAGAACCTTTATGCAAGGTAATATCATAATTGTCACAGTCTCTCATTGGAAACCGGATTAAAAATTTCATGACTGTGCAGCACCAATAGGTATTGAATATATTGTTATGAATCTCACTGCAGTGCCTAAAGTACAGGATACAGTAACCAGGTTAAGACTATAAAGATCTTGTGTTTTATCATATCATTTTATTTTGCGTGACTTACAGTAACTTTTTTATCATTATTAATTTATTGATTTGATGTCTTGTTAGTATGTTATTTGAACATTTTCTGCTGTTTTGCTACTCTCTCTGTCTCTTTCTTTCTCTCTTTCATTTTATGCTATTTAGGGAAGTGCTTCACTCAATCATTTATTTCTATCTTGACCTCTCTCAGTGGTTTCTGTAAAATGCCAGATTCTGAAAATTATATACTTCTTCACACCTTCGCAATACACTAATGCATATTTATACTAATATTTACAAACATAATTTCTCATGTCAACATCTGATCCACCCCTATGTTCCGTACGTCATGTTCCTCTTTTAGTCATACACAGTTATCCTGTCCATGCTAAACTGCAGACCATACCTCTACTTTCCCTTACTTCCTCCTTCCACAGATGCATACACATCCTTCACTTGATCTAATTCCCTCTTTGCTTATCCATACTTTAATCACTTACTCATCCTCTCTATCTTCACCCCTCTTTATCCTTTGCAGTACCTTCCTACTGCTGTATGACTGTTGATGTGTTGCACATAATCATTAACTCTCCCCTCTTTATGATATTATGTCTTCCCATAGTGCTACATGACCTTTGATGTTTAACACATTTATTTTACTTTTTAACCATCAACCTTATACAAATTCTTGCTCACTAACAGAAAATCACTGGCACATGGATACTTACACATATACTGTATACATACACACAAAAGGCTGTATTGTATAAAATGAAAATACAAAAGGGCAAAGGAAAGGAATGCAGAAGCTAAGTCTGCTAGAAGTCGGAAGATCTATTTTGTGTCGGAACTGAACCGGGATCTGTCATGGGTTGATGAATTTCCACAGGATCTTGTTAGTTTTTCAGATGTCATGTGATAGGTAAGAAAGTTCTCTTATTTAAAAGAAAGGTCTGCTCTTTAGCTAGAGCGTTCTTGCTATCCAATGCAGTATGCTAGGATAATCCCCGTCAAGCACTGTGCCTCTCTCTCTTTTCAGTGTTTTAAGCTCTAAAGAGTTTTCATGTGTTCTTTAACAGTTTGGGAATAAATAATATATGATTATACTGAAAATTAAAATACACAACCCTTGATTTTTCTGGGATAATCAGTGTTAAAGGAGTCCAATAAATAAGTAAATTAAATATATATATACATATATATATTATATATTATATTTTATATATGATTTAATACACCAAAGATGTAAAATTCAGTTCATATATATATATGTGTGTGTGTGTGTGTGTACACACATACGCACACACACACACACACACACACACACACACACACACACACACACACACACACACACACACACACACACACACACACACACACACACACACTCTCACACACACACTCACACACACTCACTCACTCACTCACTCACTCACTCACTCACTCACTCACTCACTCACTCACTCACTCTCTCTCTCTCTCTCTCTCTCTCTCTCTCTCTCTCTCTCTCTCTCTCTCTCTCTCTCTCTCTCTCTCTCTCTCTCTCTCTCTCTCTCTCTCTCTCTCACACTCACACTCACATACATACATACACACATACATACACACACACATACACACACACACACACACACACACACACTCACTCACTCACTCACTCACTCACTCACTCACTCACTCACTCACTCACTCACTCTCTCACTCTCTCACTCTCTCACTCTCTCACTCTCTCACTCTCTCACTCTCTCTCTCTCACTCTCACTCTCACTCTCACTCTCACTCTCACTCTCACACACACACACTCACTCTCACTCTCACTCTCACTCTCACTCTCTCACACACACACACACACACACACACACACACACACACACACACACACACACACACACACACACACACACACACACACACACACACACACACATATGTAGGCCTACACATACATATATACATACATATATGCATACACATATGCATATACATGTATACATACCTATATACACATATATACATCTATATGTAAATAAACATATATATATATAAAAGATACTTGTCACAAAGATTAACTATGCATTTGTTTATTTTCTGTTAACATTTGTTTTTATGATATATTATGGGAAATGATTAATAACATTTGTGTCAAGTAAATGCACTGTCCCCTGTAGTTAAGTTTTGTTGATTTTATTTACACGTGGATCGCTTCGTAAATACCTGGCCGCTAAGGAGTCACTTCCCAAGTGTATGTGATCTTAATTGTTTGTAATATTCCTTGAATTTTTGTGTTATTTTTATCAGTGAGTTTAGTAACGATAGTAATTAAACTAAAAATTGAAGGAATTGTGTAAATACTTGTCAGGAAGGCCTGATAACTTGACTTTTTTTTACTTTTTGGCAAGTAAGTACTCTTGAAGTTGTCTGTTTGTAATGCAAATTGATAGAAAGAAAACTCAGTGGATAGTACATGTATGATTTCTGGTGTCAGTGGATTTATTACATAACGAGCATAGAGGGATAAAATGACAAGACGTTTCCCAATATAATTCTTAATTGTATGGAGTGGAATTTGAAAAAAAATATGAACCTGATTTCCCCTATGCAAAGACATTGCAATTAACTACAACATAAGGTGGTTTTGTGTGAGCATCAAAGTGTTTCTATTCTGATTTATGTTTAGTGGATGTGATGGTGAAAAAATTCATTGAAGAAAAAAAAAAATCTTTGATTGTTGTATACAATGTTGTTATGCAAAAGCCAAAAATATTTAAATACTGTCAAAACAGTTTTATTGTTGAATATTTTCTTACATGTAAAATTGTAATGTGATAAAGCTGTATTTAGATTGGTCTCTGCTTTATTTTGAATGCTTTATACAATATTATGGTCAAGAAATAACACGAGATTGTTATACGTTTAAAAAAAAAAAGATTAAGAAAGGCTCATGATATTTTATTCTTAAGAACTCATTGAAATCAATCTTTGTGCAGTTTGATATTAATACTCCCCATTATATGACTGCTGGTGATATTATCATAGTAAATATTTTGTGAAAGTAGGTTAAGTGATTATAATAGTAGTAACCTTGTCTTGAGTCTGAAATGTACATTTTAACATATTCTTTTCTGTGTTTTCATATACAGATCATCCCTTTCTATGATTTGGGAGTCAGTTATTCTGCCTTTGAATCAAATATATATTACTACAAAAACTTTTTTTTTTTTCCTTTTACCTGAGAAGGTATCTATTATATATATTTTCTGTTTTATGTAGGCCTGACTGTATCCTTGTATTTTCATCTGTCATAAATCATCTCTGAAATTGTCAGCATGTATTGTACTGTATAATGTTGAAAGATGTTCATGTCAAACATTCTTCTTGAGAAAATGATAGACAAATCTTGGTTATTTTCCATATCATAGTTAGATGTATCTGTTGATCTTCTATTTTGAATACAAACAGTAATGTGGTTTTCCATTTTGTTTAGTAAGTGTATACTTGGGATCATACATATTGCAAATATGTATTAACAAGCGTAAAATAGCATGAGAGGTTGTGTAAACAAGTCTTGGTATATGCAGATTTATTGTATGCTTTCAAATTTTGTCATAACAGTTTGGTTCATTTGCTAACTACAAGGGATTTTATTATATGTAATACTCTTTTTATTTAGTCATACCATTCATTACCTGAGATAGTCTTATTGTTATACCAAATGTATAATC